CCGTACGAGTTGTTGCATGGCAAGAAATATGTTGGAAAGATTTTGCCATACGGGGAGTTCGTTTTTGGACTTCGAAAACCCGCAAAGGTGCAAGGAACAGCAGTGTGGGTTGGAGGTGTCTGGGTTGGCAAGGATGGTGCGGATATGAATGTACTACTGACTGCGGGTGGTACAATTCATACAAGGTCGATTCGGAGATGTGCCAATCCATGGCGAGCAGATGTGGTAGCATCATTGTTGGATTCACCGTGGAACAAGAGTAAAGGTGGGAGACCGATTGGTTTGTTGGAAGCCCCGATGCCTGTCATTGAGGAGTCGAAAGAAGGAAAGGTTGAAGGTGAGATCCTTTTGTTGGCCACTGGAGAGATTGACGAGGAAGGGGCAGAAGTCATGGGTTTTATGCATGATGTTGAGCAATTGGAGTACGAGCCCACCGAACCACCACAACAAGATGAGCTACAGGAGAGGCAGGAGGAGGTCATTGAGTTGGAATGGCCCGATCCCAAGAGAGCACGGCAAGAGGTTTTGGACCAAGAAGAGTTGCAACCATTGGGTACAGAAGCAAGACGTCAGTTGCTAGGGCTTCCTTCAAGAGCATTGGAACGAGAAGATGCAGAGTTTAGATCAACGGCTGACAAACGAGAAACCGAACATGAAGGAGATCAAGAAGAGAGCAGGAAAGCCCCTAAGAGAGAGACAAGTCCCATGTCGAGTGGCTTATATTCTCCTTTCTATGCGGGACAAGTTGAGTTGAGGATGCCTGATGATGATGAACATTGGGAAGAGAACGTTGACTGGGACAACATTGATTGGAACATTGTTGATGACATGTGTCATGGTGAGCAACCTCCTGAGTTGTCGGCAGAAGATCTTGCAGATTTGGACAAACAAGCAATGAAGGAGGAGGTGAGCAAATTAACAAGCATGGATGTGGTGAAGGTCGTGAAGGAGAGCAGTCGAGATCCAGAAGGAAAATTTGTTGACCTGAAGGAGGTGTTCGATTGGAGGTACAGGAACGATCGTTGGAAGCGAAGATGCAGGATCGTGGCCCGCGATTTCAAGACAGGGCCAAGTACTTCAGAAACCTTCTCACCAACATCAGCAGGAGGAGCAATTCGGTTCTTTTTGCTATTTCACCTAGTGTTCAGGTGGAAGGTGTTGTCGCTAGATGTGAGTGATGCATATCTCATGGTGCCTCAGCAGGAAGCTTGCTACGTACAGATTCGTGGTTGGATCAAAGAGCTTTTAGGTTTGGCAACAGATGATTTATGGGAGTTGAGACGAGTGTTGCCTGGTCAGAGAAACGGAGCTCAGCGTTGGTTCAATCATTTCACAGAGTTTCTCAAGAGTTTAGGTTTCTTGCAGTGCACCGCAATGCCATCGGTGATGCGCCACAAATCCCGCAAGGTGGTCATCAATATTCATGTTGACGACGAACTGGTGGCAGCTGAGAGTATGGAAGAAGCTCATTGGTTCATTGGTGAGCTGAAGAAGAGATTCAAGGTGCAAGTCGAAGGACCATTTCCCACAGGGTCCATAGGAGCTGGTGAGGAACTTAGTTATTCGAAGAAGACGTATGTGTTCACCGGTGAGGGTATTCTAGTGAAGCCCAACAAGAAATACATCGAGAGTCTATTGAAATTATATGATGTCGACGGTCGAAAGCATAAGCAGGTGCCAGAGCACAGCTTGCTTGGACAGGTGGACTTTTCTGAAGAGCTTGACCAACAGAAACAATCACTGTTTCGGAGTGGATTGGGTGTTGCTATGTACTTAGCACAAGACAGGATTGACATCCAATATTGCGTGAAGACATTGGCAAGTTCGATGAAGTGTCCGACACAGCAGGCAGAGAAAGCATTGATACAGTTGATTTTGTATCTAGCAGGTACAAGAGATTGGGTGTTCAAGTTGCCATATGTTGAAGCAGGAACTAGCTTGGCAAGGAGTTTGAACACAGGTCGAACAGACGAAGGTTCAGGCAGAGAGCATTTGTTGGAGATCTTTTGCGATTCAGATTGGGCAGGAGGCGTTGGACGAAAGAGTACAAGTTCATGCATGATTTTTCTTGACTCGGTGTTGGTTACATCATTTTCGAGGACTCAGAAGTCGATCGCCCTTAGCTCATGTGAGAGTGAGGTTCTTGCGTTGACAGCAGGTTGCAGTGAAGGAATATTGTTGAGAACAATTTGGGAGTTTCTTTCAAAGACAGCTTGCAAGATCGTGGCCAGGAGCGACAGTTCAAGTGGACGACAATGGCTGGCCAGATCAGGAGTCGGGAGACTCAAACATTTTGACATCAGGTTGTGTTGGTTGCAGAGCGCAATTCACAAGAGGGTATTAGAGGTAGCACCAATTGGTACAAAGCTGAACGTCAGTGACCTAAACACCAAGAAGCTTTCCGCAGCTAGGAAACGGTTCTTGCTATACTTTTTGGGTGCAACAAAATTTGATGAGGAAAGTGGACAGCAGGAAGCAGTAGGTGAAACAGAATTTGTTGAACACATGACAGAAGAGGCGATGAAGACACAGATTCAGAGAATCAGCAGACTGACCAGAGGCAAAACAAACAGAAGCATTTTGCAAGTAGCCATGGCATTGAGTGTTTTTGGCATGAAAGGTTGCATGGAGAATGACGAACCACAGCAATCGGCTGAGAGCAGTGAGAACACTTGGCAACAGGTTGCATTGACCATGGTGGTATTGGCAATCATTGCATTGTGCAATTTTGTTTTCTCGCATTGGGATGTGTTGCAGACATTGTTGCAAACGATGCGAGACAGGCGGGGTAGAAAACGAAAGAGAGATGGTGAACAACAAGATGAAGCACAAGTACCAAACGCTGGAGGACGACAAGAAGAAGAATCTTCAGATGTGGTAGTTGAAGAATTGGAGGTGCAAACTGGTGAACAAGCCAGTGCAAGCACAGGCCCGGTACCTCCATCCGAGCCACCGCCTTTGGGCCCACCACCAAGGGCACCGAAGTTCTCTCCAATTCCTGTCGACCCACCTCCTCGGTGGGATCCATGGTCTCCAGAGTGGTTCATATACTATGTGCTTGGAAGAGTCAACAGCAGGATGCAGCGTCGAGGTCAGACAATGGATCACAATACATTGCTCAGGTACAATCATCGACGCGACATTTTGGAGATGCAGCTTGGAATTTTGGAGCAGAACCACAGTGAAGGTGTGAGGCGAAGGGCGCACATGATGTGTCGAGGGATGACAGATCTCTCACCTGATTCAGGTTCATCTGCAGGACCTGAAGTGGAGGAAGATCCAGAGCCAGAGCACGAAGGAGACATTGCAACGCATCGATATGTTGGACCAGAAACGGAGGAGGAGAGCGTTGGAATGCAGGTACGACGGCAACAGTTTAGCACAGCAGCTTCGAGCAGTCAGACAGGACATACAAGCAGAGATGAACAGTTTCGGTCGGAGCTTGATTCAGGTGATGGATATTTTACCTCATCGAGTTTGCCAGGACGGAACTTGGCTGGACAGGAACAGCAGAATGAGGAGGATGAAGATGATGAGGTTGAAGATAGTGAAACACAGTCACATAGAAGAATGAGGTACATTTATGCTGGAATCGAAGAAGTGAGTGATCCAGAGTACTGGCAGGAGCTACACCATTTTAGCAGTGATGAAAACGATGACGCGAGCAATTCAAACAGAGATGGTGACGGTTGATTTACAGATTTCAGATTTGCAGAATTTCAAATTCACAATACATTTTCTTTTGGGTGTTGAGTTGAGTGGCCTGTGAAACCATCTGAACCACAGGACCATTCCTTGTTGAATACCGTGAAACCATCTGAACCACGGTATAGTGGCACTACGAACGAATTCATTTACAGTTGCATTGAAGACAGTTTTGAGTGTACGTGAAACCAGCTGAACCACGTACAAGGCAAACAGAATTTACAATGGTCAGTTGTGGAAATTGTGTACAAAGGTACACCGGAACGGTGGCTACAGTTGGTAGCTGTAGAAGTGTTTGTGGGAGACCTTTTTCAGTTCCGCCTACCAGAGTGCGGATCCCACAAAATCGAGAAGTGTACGATAGAAAGTGTGGAGTTTAGATTTGAGCATCTAACTCCAAGGCGGGGTGTTAACTTATTTCACCCTTGTGTACACGTATGATTGTGACATGTATAGAGTTGATTTGAGTCACATGTGAAGTATCTGTTCTTATCACTCTGTAGCGTTCGTGATCGAAGTGAAAAGCGTTGCTGCCTAACAATTAAACTAGGGACACCTCCCAGTTTGACCGCCTGGAAAAAGGAACACAGACCCAAAGCTATTGGTTGTGGGTCTCCCTATTAAGATGCACATCATGTGCACCAATCAGTTGGGGTGGCTTCAATGTAAGGTGTCAATGTGTAGGTAGAATTGTAAATGTATGTAAATGTCTGGGATTAAGGGTCAATGTATATGCATATATTCCAGTCCCATGGAGTGCATATGCCCAGCCTCTTTGACCACGGAACCTGTCCAGAGGCTTGCTACGGAGGCCTGTTGGTCTTCCTGGCCCACCATTTGTTTTAAAGGAATTTTTTTTTACCGAATCACCATGAGGATGTTCAGACTACGAAACCCCAGGGTCAAGATAGAAGTCGTCTCGGCCGGGGTCCAAGGGTCCAAGGACTGGGGGACATGAACAGAAGAATGAATGAAGACACATACATTGAAGTACTTTGAATGAATGAATGAATCAAGTTCCCCATGAAATACACACTTTGAACGCCCTGGTTTTGCTTCGGTGTGTTTTTGCGTACATCCCCTGCCTTTATGGTGAATATGTTTTCCCGGTTGCTTGAGCAAATCCAAGTGACCGCGTTGCGGCCACACGGCGTTTGAACCATGTTTGGTTGCAAGGACTGTTTGAACGCATGGCAGCTTTTAGGTTTGGAACCTGGAACACCTATGACGGGTTTCTCGGTGTTTCGATCCACCAACCACCCCAAGTCTTGCCCTTTTCGATTGAGTTGCTTCAGGCAGGCTCTCCGAAGCCATGGCTCAAGAAGGCAGGATGTGTTTTTGTGTTTGGTCCACCCTTTGATGGGAAGCGTTAGGCCTTCACCGTAGACGGCAAACGCAGCACCAGCAGTTCCAAAGGAATCCCTAGGTTTCCAACAACGATTGTCACAATGGTGTGAATCCCAAAGAACCCTCGTTTTACTGATGGTTTTACAACTGAAACCAGTTCAACCAGTTTTCAACCAGTGTTCAAAGCTAAGGATTGAAAGCTAGTGGAATGGTTTTCTTAGTTCCATCCAGAACAGTGGATGTGAAGGTCGGCGCACTCAGAAAAGAAGGGCCCCTCTGAGTTGGTTGAGGGCGGTTGATGCCCGGGTGTGTTTTTTTTTTTCGAACGTCGAATGCGACCATAGTGAGGCTCCTCCCATGGCCGGTAGCACCCCCAAGCACCTTCTCAAGAAACTCTTTCAAAAGGGTGCCCTGGAACCCAGATGGGCCTTTGAAGCAAGGGAGGAAAAGCAACAGGAACCGCTCGGCCAGATTTCTGGATGAATCGCTTGAATCGGGTTCCACGCGTTCGTCGCCGGGGGAGCCGGGGGGGTCGATGATTCCAAACAAAGAGTCACGTTCGTTCTACGTTGTTTCTTCCCAATACCACAAGGGCGGAAACCGCACCCATGTCCAACCCGTTTGGTTGCAGTGTGACGCGGAAGGTACGTGCAGGTCGTTTTGGGGCATGGCGTGTTTGGGTATGACACCATCCTGAAGCATCCTGAAGCTTCGTGATGCGCGGCCTCCGCCAGGATTCATCCAAGCTCTGAGCTGGTGAAAAGATGGGCGGAAGGAAGAGCGAAAAATTCAGCAGCCGGCTGGTCAAGGTTCTACCCAGTCAGTGGATAAGCAGCAACATCATTTTTTGGAGGGGATTCGGGATGTGTTATTTCCCCATGTTTCCCTGCTGAACAGGTGGAAAAGACTTAACCTTCAGTTCGCAGGGAATGGCTCCGCAGAAACATCGTCCCTGGTCCCTAGGGATTGACAGCCACCCTCAGGTTGAGGTGAGCATGGAGACACCTGTATATAATATACCTGGATCCTCCTTTGGGCGGAAAAAAGTGCCGGACCTCAAT